ATCTCGACGACCTTGGTCTTCATTTTGGATACTTTGAAGAAGATGACCAAGTTTTTACCCTTAGTTTGCTCAAGAAGAGTTTATAGCAGGATAGCCTGAGGACAAGCTACCTTCGTTTTGCTTATGCAACCCTACTTTGTCCGTTACGGCCAATTCAGCTTGCGCTCAGATGATGAAAATGTAATGAATAGGCGATTTTACACTAGAGCAGACCGGCTGTGAACAACGTAGCGAAGGCAGCAGAGTTTGTAGTAGTTGGATTAATAGATTTACGTTCCCGTTTTTACGCACTTAATTAGTCAGGGTTACATCATGCGTCGAAAAGCTTTTCAAATGTTTCGTACGTGGGCTATGTAGTGATAATTAAAGCAACTAAGTAAGTATAATCCCGCTATAAACTAATATTAAAAACTTAGTGGCTTGAAATACATCAGTCACGCAACCACCTGAAGTTTACGTGTTTCTACACTCACATCCTAAAGCAGTGAAAATTAAAACATTTTAAATTAGTATTTCCCTATTTTTTAGCGTGCGATTATTTCTGATGGTTGACATCTAGCTAACAAAAACATATATATATATTTTTCTTGCTATATTTAACCAGTTTTTCATCTGAGTTTCACTCGCTTTTATTGTTGATGCGTCTGCATAACGAATCCTAAACACATAAGATCAGTAAGAGAAATAAGGGTGGCTCCTTGCATAAAATCAATAAGCAGAATAAATTGTTGTAGACAAAGATTTTTGCTCACAAATAGTAGTGGCTTGATGGTTCTATTGACAATTTTGTTTCCTGCCAGAACGCCATTTGGGAGCCTACGCGGCTGGGTAGGACAGCAAACGATGAGCGAGACAAAGGGACTTCGTCAATTATTCCATTTCTGTTTCGTTCCTCATTGTCGAAGGTTAGACGGTCAAGGAGTTGTGGCTAAAACATTCGATCTCCGAAAAGTATTTCAGTGGTGTTATAGAGCATACGCAGTTGAATATTGACGCATATTGAAAATTAAACTGGATGCAAATATGAACATTTTGAGACAATTCCCTATAAATGTGTATATATGCCTGCTCCTGTTTTAATAAAATTATATTGAGTTAGGCTTGCCGGACTCATCCTCGTACAGTACCGATGTCATTAACTATAGAATGGATTAACGAGTATAACAGAATCAGAAGCCTGTATAATGTATACGATTCTCTGCTTTAACATACTACAGTATAAATAAAAAAAAAAAAAAAAGTTTTACATCAACTTCCTTTGTAAGCTCGGCATACCAAAGTACTTATTTTGTCTGATTAGAAAACTTCAAGCAGATATTCTTGACAAATGTCAAATGATAGTCGATAAAACATCTTACGCATGCATACCAATATTATAATATTTATTTTGTAATAAAGAAGAAAAATACTTCAGATAACAGATGGTTATTTTTGGATGCCCTTAACAGGATATTATGACCATCTTCGATTGCCCATTCGAGCGTTCAGCTTACCAGAACGATTTGGGTTGCTGCTATAAAGATTACTTGTGAACTTTGGTAGCATATCTATTTTCAAAGTGCTAATTGCTAGTAATCATACAGCCCTACATGGAAAAACAAATATACATTATAACAATATATGATTCTATACCGAAAATTCAAAAGGCTGGAAACAGGGACTTTAATGGCTTCGCACTAACCCCTATTTTCTGTAAATGTAAATGATTATCGCAGAACAAACAGGCTGAGGTTGTTCCTCAGTTTCTTATTTTTAACTCATCAAAGATTAAAAACAAATGCACTGTCAGAGCAAATAGGGCTTTTAATAAAGCCGATTATCGTTTTATAATTTAGAGAAGCAAACTTGAATGTGGTTTATATAATTTTCATTCAAGGATAGAAATCTGGCTGTTTTAGGTAAGGTAAAGCAGTTTCATAAATAGAGAAAAACACTTCCTTCAACAAAAATGATTTGTTATGATTTTACATGTATACGCTGAAATTTTCGTGATAGTAACTAGTGTGGTTTGGTAAAATAAAAAAAATATTTACGTTAATTTTTTTCACATTATTTTAGATCTAAATGTGCCGGTCTTACAGTTGATGGTTTTAGCTTACAGTTTAAAAAACTCAGGTCCTTCAATTGTGGGCTTTTGCTCATCGAACTGTGTCCGTTGACTAACCCTAGCTATCTTATATTTGCGCTTATAATAGAGAATTTTGAAGGTGCACTTACTTTAATATTTAAATCACAATATTTATTATGTTATATCAAAATTGTACATACGAGAGAAACACTAGCATACAGATTTTTTCAGAGACTTTCATAGCTCTAAATTACGAGACAAAATTATATATTCATGATTGATTCATTGTAGTATGTTGGAAACCAACTTCATTTAGATGTGTATTTGTTGTCTTATTCATGTGAATGTGGCAATAATTTACATTTACCTAATAATAATATATAACAGTTTTTTTTTTGCCAATAAAAATGCCATTGCTGGTTTCTTCTAATGTTTTCAACTCGACTGGTTAAAATTTAGCATTTGTTCTGTACGGTTGCCGGACTGCTACGAATTTATCAAGTATCTCAATAAGTGGAACACACGTAACCTTATTTTTATTCATATATCTGCTACCTATTCGGTTTGATGCCTAACCGCGCATGGCGTTAGGAACAATCATTTAAGGCACATATAGATACATAGTTATCCTTGTCGTTTTCAAAACTGATTGCTGACCTAAAATTGTCTCTAATTAATAGAATGGCCGATTCTGTAGATGTTTCGCTCCTTGACTAATATTGCAGTGTTTACTTCCCAAAGACGATCAATAGTGCAGTAAGCAGTGGGGCTATACCGGTGCGCAAAGTTCGTTCAAGCATTTCCCGAGCTTCAGCGAGTTTATAATTCAAGACCCGGAAAAAGATATGACACTTTTTCCGAGGTTACTTCATCGCCAATCGGCCGGTGCTCGCAATCGTTGTTCTGTGTTGTTGAATCGATCGGCGCATTTACTAATATTCCCGGTTCGACCAGTGAAATAAGCGTTCCAGCTTCATGAAGTCACTCAAAGAGATGGTAGTAAGCAAGAGACGGCCGAGGGTACATTGAGATACTGAATTCAACGACCGAAACGCCTTGCGGATAGCACACTGGATACGATATGCAATCTACACGATTAGCAGTATACCCTTGTAATCTTACGTCTATGTTCGAGAGTTGTACGTATGCCAACTATCAACGAAACCGTCATGTAAGATCGATGCGAGGGTAAAGCGGCGCGTCTAAAGTACCACGGCATGTAATCCGCAGGACACGGGCAAAATAAGAATACAACGCTGTTGTAAACTCCCGATCAGCGACGCACACCGCAAGAAAAACGCCGAGATCAACAGTCTTAAATGCACTGCACGTGGCACAGAAGAAAACTTCTGCAAATAAACACTGCAACTAATAGAGCCGTGACTTGATCTAGTGTCCATCGCGTATAAATATATAAACCAACTTTGAGCGGGTAGAAGCTCTGGTAACCTGATTGATTTGGTAGAAGGATCAAATATAACTAATAACATTCACCCAATTATGAGATATACGGATGAAATGCATATGCATTACCAAGCTCCGCCAAATGTTATTCTGAGCCTACACTTGTGCCTTTTTAAAAAATCCTAGAAACGCTTATTTGCTCAGTTTAGTAACTGAGATTCAAGATGCTCATTCAAGTTCTCGTTAAACTTGAACACACACTTTAAACCATAATGCTTAGGTAAGTTGGAAGCTCTTTGCTGGTCATTAAACGTTCAAGCTTTAGTAACCGCGGCAGCTTTGTATCGCTTAGTCGCTTCCACCGTACTTGAAATTCGCTAATCTACTTTCTTCATTTGAATCTGTTATCTGAGGTCACCAGCCGATCGTTCCGGAGATAGCAGCCTGTTGAAAGTCTGGGGACACCGCCAGCACAAACCCTTTTGAAAATACGTAATCTGGCCAACATTATAATGGTTATGTCGCTATACTGAAGCGCGGCGCGAAAAAGGTTCGTTCTTGACGTGTTGGGAAGTAAATTTAACCCTAGTAATCGACACTGGTAATCAGCCATACTATAATCTAATCGTTCAAAGACGTAAAGCTCACATAAAACTTTGGGTCGACCATGGCTCTGTAGTGCACCTCGGAATCAAGATAATGGTTGGTTCTCTTAACATTGACGAAACCCAAATATGGCGAAACTTTCCTGAGTAATTGCCAGATATATGTAACACAAACTGTTTGTATTTTTTACATTGTGTAGCTATTAATATCTGTGTGCGAAACGACAATGACGACACTTACATTTTTGACTTTTTATAATTGCCACTAATCGAGGTCTCAGAAGAGGGAAGACATGTGTCTAAACTAGGACTAGATGATTTGATTAAACAAAAGTTAATAAGCAAACAAGGTAGTGTTAGCGAATCGCTCGAAAATAATATGAGCTTGACTCCCGTTTCGATTCGAATCGGTGACTCAACTAAACATACTATTGCCTACTTGCGAAATTGTCATCTGCATAAAGAAAGCTTCGGTGCGAAGAAAAAAATCTTCTTGAGAGACTCGTTAACAACCGAGTTGGAAGAGAATAATTTGTTGGTAGTAAGAGAAAGATCTAATTAGGTTTAAACAAAACAAAGGAACGAAGTGTTGCACAGTCTGGTTACCAGCACAGCGCGTTACAGGATTAGTTCGAAGGAAGTCGTTAAGGCTCAATTCAGCCCATTGGAAATCGGCAGTAATTTATGCTCCAGTAATCTAAGGTAAAATTCTTACTTTAAGAGCAAAGTATAACTTGGCGATTTTTCCTGAATGAAAAAGATATTCTCTAATTACAGAAGTAATAGCGTTTATGGTACTAAGTAAACGTATCACGAGTATCATTAAACCTAAAAACTAAGTTTATTTAAATAAATGTTCTTGTTGTAATGATTATGAGGCAGACACGAAGCAAATTAATTCTCATTGCCTTTTATTACTCAGAACACATTCTTTTCCGTCATTGTTATTAGTTATTCATCATTAGGCACAGAAGAATTACTCATTTTTACAAAAATATATTGCTCTTTTTTTTTTTTTATGTATCATATGTACAAGCAGAAAATAGTCGTACACGTGATGGAAAGTAATAATATTTACAATAGAAGTTGACTAGACCGCCAATATGATCCCTCATTGAGACAGCTACATACAACGATGTGCGTGATTCTTACAAGTTATACGTCCACTAAAAATGCACCGTAAGGGAACTATTAGAATAATTTCAAATGAACTTTAAGAGAGAGAGTTAAATTTTGAAAAATACGCATCAGTAAAACAAATTCGCATTTGTTGTATTTCGCTTAACTATAGTTTAGCTAAAGACCTGCTTAATTTAGAAACACTATTTATCGAAACGGTAGCCTTGTTAGCTAGCCTTGCTCTCTAAGTTCCAAAAAATCTCAATATTCATTTTATTCTTAACGGCTGTACCGAGAAATGGGACCAAATGCCGTTATGCCAATATTAGATACTTCGTTTTCTACTGTACTTCTCACTGTTTTTCTCTAGTTATGCAAAAAAAAATTGCTTACTGCGCTACTTGTGACCATGCCCCCATCATTGGCCCCAATGTGCATTATCTCTTTATTTCTCCAGCTTGCTCTTTATGTAGTACTATGTTACTTACACAGTCGCTGTACCGAAGCTAGAATAGGACAACATGTTTCTCGTATAATTCAAGTGCCAACTCTGCCCTTATATTAGGAGTACAAAACATTTATCGTGCCTGATACGCTACAGTGTCGATAAAGAGATCTGAGACTTAAGTGAGCCGCGACAGTTTAGAGGTGTGATTACTAGAAGGAAGGATCCGAGGACTTTGTCAGCGGGTGCGTTTTTGAATTTCAGTTAGAAACTCAAATATGGACTGCGATTAAGCCGTTGATTAAACTAGGGAACGTACTCGTCGCTTATTTTCATTCAGGCGGAGTGACGCAATGTTTAGTCTTAAGATGCCTTTCCAGATCGCGTTTGCGTACGAGGGCCTTATCGCACAATCCGCAACGGTAGGGTGATTCGAGTTCGGCGTGCAACCGGACGTGCTTATTTAGATTTGACGGATCGCTAAAAGGCCTCTGGCAGAAACGACACTGAAGTGGCTTGTAACCGGTGTGCGTTCGGACATGTATCTTCAAGCCATACCTGGCGTTCAATAGTAAAACATCGCAGAGAAAAACATGAAGTAAGGTATATTTATGGAAAACATAATTGCTTGCGCAACTTCACAATGGAAAAGGTTGACATATGTTGATAATAATGTCACCCCTACTTATACACAAAGCTTACTGCAGTAGGTCAACTTGGCTGTTTCTAGGAAGTAAGTTAGGTAAGCTTCGTGTTAAATTGAAGATTTTACAAGTAAGCTACAGATATTAACACGAAACCTACCGACATATCTTTAAGCTTACAAGAAGTGTGGCACTCGAAGTGAACTTCGTTTTTCGTACAATAGAGGCTAACCTACAATTTCAGTTGTTTTTTTTTTTTGTTAAGACTGAGTAACTCATATTTGGCCATGTCAAGGAATTAGTGCAAACCAAGAAAATGCTATATGTCAAAATTAAGCGAGATTGTTAGCTGACTGTGATACAAGCCTATAGATGTTGACTACAGGAGAACTAGTTGCTGGCACGTAGAGTTGGCAATTTTTAGCTTTGTGCGTTTGCCTGCTAATCTCAGGGACATGTTGTGGTCTAGATTCGAACCCGAACATAGATACGCGGTTCGTTTCGTGATGGCTGGGAGGCCAGCCGTCTGATGGAATACCTATCGGTCGCACCGGGTGTAACACTTCGCAATTTAGAGCCCGTAGCAAGGCAATATTCACAACTCTATGTAGATAGAAACACAGGATTAAGAAAATATGAATGACAACTATGAAACCGCACGAATACAGTGTGTGATATTACTTACCTTCTGGAATAGATTTTGCCGCAGAACATGCACATATGTCCCTTTTTTCGTAGTCTTTCATCTGCTTCGTTTGTTGCTCCCCTTTCATTGTCGTTGTCGTTGTCGTCATCGTCCTCATCATTTGAGGTGTTCGTGTCAGGAGTCATCGCTAAGCCTTCATCGACTCGAATGTCCTGCATTCCTCCGGAGCCTTGAGTTGTACTGTCGTCCTGCAGAAGCGTGTCCTGCAACCTCATGGTGCTCTGAAAAGAAGGCTCATTGGCCTGCCGTAAGGCCGGTAGCTGACCTCTCTGGTAGGTGCACCAATTGAGCCTTAGATGCGCTTTTAGCATGTTTGGCTGTGGAAACGTGGCGTCACATGAAATGCACACGTAGCGCTGATGTCCTGAATTTGAGGAGGTTAAAAGAAATGATAGTTGCTAGTGAAAATAATTCTCTTAAAAACAATTTTTCGAGAAACCGACTGCCGATCACTACGTTAACTGGCACTTCTAAAAACTACGATGGAGTTTCAATCTTACGAAGTAGGTATAATTCGCTGCAGTCGGTTACGTTGCAGAGTGGGCTCAAAACGATCAATAGTTCTGACCTGATGATAAAAGGTCAATGAGTAATCAGTTAGAATTTTACAGAAATAAACATTAAAGCGAGATAAAGAAAAGCAAAAAAGGCAGTAAGTTTCCAAATCGGGAAGAAATATCCATACTTGTTTGGTTGAGAAGTTTACGTACCTAAAATATGCCGAGGTGTGAGAACTGGAATTTGAAGTTCACAGCTAACTTCAAGGTTGAACCAGAAGCGAAGTTCCTCACCAATGGGTATTGGCCTACAAAATTAGAAGCGTTGATAAATATACTACGCACTGCAAAACAATGTAGTTTTATACGTAGAAATAACGGCGCGCTTCTCACTTCATTCTTTCAACGCTGAGTATCTTACTCTCTGAGATAAGCTACAAAAGGTGACAATAACTCGCCAAGTATGCTGCCAATGAGTATTTATAAAAAAAATATTATTTTATAGAAAAAAAAAACTCTATATTAATAAATATTCGTTTATGCCCACTGTGAACTTTACTTGAGGATGGTAAAGGTCAACCGGCAATAAGTTCATAAGAAATCGGAAAAGTCCCATTAGAAGATCTACAAGGCTATTCCGGAATCGGCTTGATGGTAGTTACCTACCTTGTTGTCTGGAGCACATAAAAATTGACTGTCTTCACAAGAGCAACGTTTTGCTCATGGACATCGGCTGCGAGACGCATTATCGTCGAGAGCTGTTGAGAATCACTGCACTCGGGAGAGATAACTCGGAGGAATCCATGTCGTAACGCTACCTGAATAGTAATAACGTATATAGCAATATTATTCTTGTCTTATTTGTTAATGCTCATTAACGGGTTATTTGTTATCCTTTTTAGGTGCTCAAATATGTCGAACATGTTCTAAGTTTATCTACAGATAATTAATTTTAAAGATAATATCTTCGTGACGCAATTGGTCACTATAAAGATTTTACAAACTTTATCCTACCTTGTATTCAACTTCAGGCCGTCGGCGATCGAGTAACCGTTCCAGTAGGACCTCGGCTCCGACAGGCATCGAGATCGCACCAGCAGGTAGCGGTTCACCAGCCAACACACAGGATGACGTTGGATGCTCAATCATTACTACAGTTTGTATTAAGCTCCCCAAAGTAGAACTATAAATGGTGACTATTAAGCATGTGGCAATGAGGCAAACTCTTTTGTGGTATAATGTGCGCCCACCAACTGTCTCATGACGGCGTCTAGACGAACATGAACATTCCACCGCATAGTATCAATACACATCGGCCTTGCACGGACATCCCGACGTTGCTCTCTGCTCACCGTACGAAACAATAGATTGCGCTAATATTACAGTTATATACAGAAGTATAACCAGAATGACGAAGAAATAATTATTGGCTCACAGATCGACTCTTTTTACACACGTTTCAGTGGGTCAATACCATAAACGTTAGGCTATCGTATCATGTCAAATCTATGGCACCACTGCATGTTCAACTGCCGCCTTAGCTTTAGGTAGTTTACGCCACACCTAATGCAATACGAAGTCGTTGCATGCAGGTCTCGGAGAGCAGCACCTGTCTCTGCCACCTGTCGAAAACGACTGGCATTTAGTTGGTACTGTCTGGTGCGACTAGTATTGACTGTCATGGTGACAGGGTCCTGTGGCGTTGTCCTGGTGTGCGTACTGCACACCCACATACGCCCAGCATAGTGGACATAGGATACAAGCCATAGCCTACATAGATTAACATAGGGACACACAGGCACTCAGGACACGGTGGCCGTTCCTGGTAGCACCAAAGGAGGTGGTGCTTAGCTAGTCTCGCCAGTCTGTGGTTGGTGGAAACGCGGCGATGGGGTGGTCCTTCAATCCCGATGTCGCGGCACCTCAACGTTTGCTTCATCGGCACCACCGAACAGTGTGGTAGACAGCCCTGGTCTAACTGAATAGAAAGACAACTTCAGTGTTGTCTCAATACGGCAAAGCATAGTCCGGTACCTTGTCCAGCAGCCCACTCCATTCCGTAGCACTAGTCACTTAATGCTGTCTAAGAGTGAAGGTAGCAGGATCGGTAAATCGCTATCGAATGATAATAGTCTCCGCCGTAGCTATGCATCCTGCTTTTGCCTGCAATAGCATGCGGTATGCATCCCTCTGTGGGTGTAGGGGCTATGGAAGAACTGACGGCGTGTCGCGAAACGGGTGCACGAGCACATCCGGTACACACACAAATTATAATGCCATTCTTTCAACCTAGAGTAGCTCTTGCCCCCCTAACCTCAGCAAGTACCAAGGTCTCCTTGGTGATTCGCTGTTCTGGATATGCTGAACTTGCTGACGCTGGCAAAGGACAATTCGATCCGACGTATCAAGTGCAATCCAGAGCAACCCGCATCGTGTATACGTGGTTCTTGAATATCACCATCGCTATAGGAATCAAACTTTCTTGACTTGACCTTGAGAATAGGTTCTAATTGTATAATAATTGTAGTTGTAATAAAAAAAGAAGAGAGATACTGAAACTAGCCTATATGAGTTACGGTCAACTGGCTCTTCTATTGTTTTCTCGAAAAGAAAAGTCATTCAGGTCGTCATTTTCTGCTATTTACTGCATTTCTGACTCTACAAAATCTAGGTGGCGCAACTTTGCAAATAATACAATTGAAACCGAGGTTTGATTGATCTAATGAACCTGATAGAGAGACCTTTTGTTTTTCATAAATCTTTACAAGTTGAACGTAGACCGTTTGAAAGCTCCCGGGCCACTATAATTAAGACCAGTTTTTGAGAATGTGTGCCATTAATCTGGCCTTTCAAGCGCGTCCTCTAAGCTTTCAACATTTAAGTTGTCTTAACAAAGTATTTCTATAATATGCAATAAAATTTGCATATAACGTTGGTCGCAACAGGTCTACCTTCTGATGTCATCCCATCCTTAGCGAAGTATTTCTTCTGCCTTTAAGGACCAAAGCTTTAGTCTAAGGGATTTCAAAACGCTTTCCAACCTCGTTCAACGCGCGCGGCGCATGAGCCACTGACTCTAACGAACTCTCAATGTAGTCACAGGTGTCGTACTCTTCGTAAGCATACATTGTACTCTTGCTGCAGTCGTAGAGCGCCGCACTCGGCCCTAAAAATGGCCCAGCCGCTAAATAAGTTGTTACCGCAGCAGTTTCCCTGCACGCGGTTCTAGAGCTACTACCGTTCTTCTGTTCAATAAACAACTGATGAGATTCGTTCAACTCGACTCCTGGTGGAGGCGGCTTTGAACTCCTGATCCTTTGTTGGTTGGTTGCCTGCCGCAAATCTGAAAGGGCTCTGACCCACTCCCACTATCCGCTTCTTTCCTTATGTAGTGTTCACAGCAGCCGCTTAGGCTCTCGTATCCGGCTATAAGCTCTCCTTCGCATTCTCTGCGCCGCCGTTTGGGACACTCTCTTCCTAGCCCCCTACCCAAGCCTGCAAACCGCAACATATGAGAGTAGAACGCGGGAAGCATTAGTAGCCACAAGTGTACAATACGGCGGTCCGTGACGAGGTGGTGTTTGTAGCAGCGACAGCTCATAATCTGAGCAGCAACTATCCGAACACTTGCGCCAGAGCGATCGGCGTGAGGAGGATTTTGAGGACACCTGACGCATTTTGCGAAGTCGGAGGGCGGATGTTTTTGCCGGGCACCGGGTGGCAGGCAACGATCCCGGGCTCGACCCGCCTGGAGATAGCACCTGACAATAGCACCTCTCGTTTAGCCAGAATAGAGAGCCGAGCAAACGAAGCGCACCCACAGGCTCGATGTCTTCATCTTTGCTTCAAATCCCATACCATCACCATCTCCACTACCATACACTGCTCCTTTTCCTGCCGCTTCTTGCGACTCCTCAGAAGGAAAAAGATCTTCTTGATCTGGACCGGGCCGTCTCCGCAAACCGGGAGTTCGTGCACGCCGCCTTACCTACCGGTATTGCTCAGGTTATTCCCTATCTGAAGAAAGTTTTCTTTTGGGTGCTGTTAACGTGCTATGACTGTACTACTCATTGATTTGCGATATGCGCAACTAACGAGATTTGAACGCAAACGGAGCGGCGGGTAGCCATAGCTCGATGCGAGATTGCACGTTGCTTGTAATATGGTTGTGATTAAGGTTGGCTTCGGGTCAAATATTACAGACAGGCGAGGACTCGGCCAGAAAGCACAGCAAGAATTTAACTTAAGCAAGCTACTCACTAGCAGCTCAAACCACAAACTATGCCAAGACCCGTCCGTGTAACTGGGTCTGTATATTTGGGTCTCATTACAATCCACCTGAAGGGAGAGCGTTTGGTCGAATCGCAGGTCGAAGATGAAGGAGCACAGCTGTTGCCACCGGGGCCGATTATATGGTGCAAAGACGCCTTACTTCGCTGTCGCATGATATGTGGTCGCTAGCTGAGAGGCAGTATGGATGCTTGCTACAGCTGGTTCACGAAGTACATGCTCGAGGGCCATTTTGCCTTGCTTTATTTTGAGGCGGTGTATCTAAAGCGTGCAAATCCACACGCATACCCTTGTAGATGCGTAAGACAAAAGTTGGTTTTGAAATTTACAGTTACGTGTGTTAAAGGTCCAGTGCTGAGTCATCTCTCTTTGGAAGTGCGAATATTTGTAAAACTGTACGACGGGCAAGATTAAAAATGGCAGTACGTCTGTTTCGGCTTAGCGACAAATTTCATTCCATAACTTCTATATATAGATTCTACAGCTTTGATGGACCTTTGTCCGACAATGCTACTCTTGGATAAAAACGACGTTTTACTTGCACCCTTGAAAATATTTGCCGACCTTCTCCTTAATTCGTACTCAGCACTATCGCCTAGGTTCAATATACTCACACTCGTTTACAGGTTGTTCAGTTACGGACCATTTTGTCCTACACACTTCCGTAGAATATCGTTTGCCGAATGGTTCATCCCTAACTTTAAATATATGCTGCTACATATTGTCTTTGTTCGTCTACTTTCGTAGTTGATGCGGGTATCATTCTGTAGTTTTCATGTATTTTGTCGTTAGCCTAGACAAAAGAACAACGTTGGCTAGACGCGTCAGTCTATAATTTTCCTGCTAATCATCCAAAGACTACTACTGCGTACAACCCAAGGTCCTTCCAATACTCAAACATGATTGTATAGGCATGTTTTATTACGTATTTATTCTAGGCTTTACTAATTGTATTCGTATTCTATTTATTTTCCAATTAAGCAGCGCTTTTATGGGGTAGAACATGGTGGTAATACGTAGCTTCGTTTAATTCAAAGGCGCCACTCGCGCAAATTTGCGGGCGGGGCGCTGTCGTCGCTCTACGCTTGTTGATATTAATGGAAGTAATTATGGTGCCTGGAGTAGTTTTGGCGGATTTTTTACACCATGTCATTCAAAATTGAAGCGGTTAAAAGGTTTTTATTATGTGGTTTTTACCATTGTGGCATATTAGTGCTTAAATTCCCGAATGTGCTAACACAAAAGTCTCTCGTTACTTACCGATTTCTGGTTGCTAAAAGACATTGCAAAATGGCAATATAAACAGATATTGATTGAGTTAATTGTGTGCGGAATTTTAGCCGAGGGCGAATTTTTTTTATCAGTGCTGCACATTTTCTTAGGTTGAAGCAGCCTAGCGATGTTGTATTTTTAATACAAATACTTCATACCTGTACGAACGTAAATGAACTAAGTCTATTAAACTTATAAACCGATGACTATTTTCTACCACACTTCGACTTCTTTCTAAAGGTGCTAGCTATAAATCTACGTGTCTCAGTGTACTTATATAGCGGAACATAGTAAAGTCGATCTTTTATATTGTACAGTATACTAGCAACGAAACGTTTCTATTTCTATTCTATAAATAATATATGTACGATTGTTTCACACGAATTGTGTCACCGTTGAAACTATATTAGCTGTGTTTTCCAAATTTCCGTTCCTTCTAACCAAATATCATACTGGGACGCTGATTCACGTATTAGAAGGGTAGTTCGATTCGATGCTATGATATACGTCATCTTGGCGGTATATGACGAGTCCGAGACATTTTGTATGATCAGCGCTCATCGTCATTAAACTGTAATACAACGTAGAGATAAGGAAAACGTAGAGAATTTTAATTAAAATTTTCCAGAAAACATCCAAACGAAATTAAACTCTGATCCTAAAGGATGACTATTCTCTAGTAACTTTTTTTAGAAGTTTGGCATCACGTTTGGGGACACTTTTTTAAACAATATAATTAAAACTGTTCAATTGATTCGTGTAAGTTCAGTCCCGTTCAGTTAAGTTCAGTCACCGCTATCATATTCGTCAAACAAGTTATTTCTATAATTTTCCACCAAAAACTTAGCTGTTTCTGTGACGGGATAAGAGACATCTGAATTAGAGTAAAGTTGTAGCTGCATCATGGCATACTGCCCGCTCATTGCTGTTCAGGTATAGCGCTAGGTTAATTGTGCTATAGGCCTACCTATTGATAGATACTATTTTTTTTAGTTTTATCACTTACAGCGTTATTGTACATAATGTTTGCCACTATTAAACTATTTATTCTTTTTTCTTTACAACGCCTCGTGGTATTATAGCAGAAGATAACAAAACTGTGTGCATCGAACAGATGAACTATTACCGCAGCTATAAGGTGAAATTTCACATAGAACCGTCCAGTTCTGAACGCCTTTACCGAATAATGATTTGACCTTACTTAACTGGTCGCTGGATAACGAAAAGGTCACCATGGCGTCGGCAACAAACACTCTTCCTCTCGGACTAGACGTTAGGATTACTTCCAGGTTACAATACCCATCAATTCTCTAAACTATCATGAACACTGGTACCCTTATTTGATACAAGGGGACAATTGTCCTTCGAGAATGACGTAGCGATTGGACGGTCCTTTATCTCTCTAGTGCATGCTCGAGCTGTACTTGGAAATTTCTTCCTTGCAAAAATGGTATTTGATTGCTCTACGGCTAGCATGATGGCCCAGTGCGGGTGCAGAACTAGACTATTAATTGGTTATATCGATATACATCATACGAAGAGAATCGTCTATTTCAACTAGCCTTAGATTCATATATTATCCTTTAAAGTACACTGTCTGCAACAGCCACAGCTTTCATTTATTGACAAATTTACAAATGGATATAAACGCTGACATACATTTAGAGAACTGAAGACACTACAAATATACAGACACGCATTTCTAATTACGTCCTCTAAAGGCACGTTACTACTTCGCATGACTAATAAACGTAACGCAGCTTTCGCACGTTTGTCGCAAGGCCACTCTTCAGCAGCATTTCCACAGGTGCCTAGTGCACAAATCGAGGCTACGTGGAAAGACAACCCAGTGTTCATTAAGCGCTATTATTCATCTCGAGGTGTCCATTGAATTTACAAATCCATGCTTGCATCTTTAGCTTGCATCGCGGATGTGGTAAAACCATGCGAATCGAATGGTCACAGCCTTCTTTCTAGATCCTCAAATGAATAGAGAGCACGAGGCATCTCTAATGCATTTCGATATGCCGTTATCAACTTCGCAAGCAAAATCTACTTGGGCACAGTAACTTCCCGGTGGAACGCGCCAAATATACTAAGATTGGCAGCCAGCCAAAAGCAGTGCTCTGGACTTAATTCTATATAGCCTACTGATGCTTAACCTCAAGGGGGAGCCAGCCCGCGAATAACGGTGGCATGAAAGTTACGTTCAAAAAAGAGACAACTTGAAGGATGCTTTATTCGTGGTATAACCCCTGTTTTCTGATGAATCAAATAGCGAAAAGATAAACTGCTAGATAAAAGAAAAAAAAATTATAGTCGTGTTGACAGCTGCTCACTTGTCAACGTAACATATTAACCACTATGGTATTAAGCGCGCAATGAAATAGATATTTTCTTCGACGAAGCCCCCATCGTCACATCCACTTCAAATCTTGCGTCTCGCTCAGAATATGCGGACAGAAAGCGTAATGGACGTTTTTAATTTAAATATAGATCATTTTATGTGAGCAGATTACACAAATGATAACACATCAGATGTCTAGCATAATACGACTTGGGGCAGAACATCTTGAACAGAATGTGCAGGAACTACGAAAGAACACTATTAGGACATACAGCGTTTCACAAGCCCGTTGACCATATTTCAGCCTCTAACTGTAAACCTTTATCTCGAGTTAAATGAACAAATCACGTCCTGACATTTCAGCTTCCGCGGTTTGGTTCTATGATTGCCCGTATCAAATCAAACTCGCTAGATCCGATGACCGTTCGCTTCGTCGTAAGGCAGTCGTTCGCTTACAGACATTGAAAATTAGCCATAAACTCGATTTCACTATGAAAAGCTTCCGAAACCGGAACGTAATTGCAGATTCGACCAGCTTGCTCTATCGCCTCTCCCTTCTCCTATCTCGGTTTGCAGCTTCGTATCAGGTCTAAATGACATCATCGTCACCGCCATCAACTTCTGGCCACTGATGATCCGTTATCCGTCACCCCCAGCCGTCGCCTGTAGTCTCTTCCTTTCCCCTTTTGAGCGATGTTTCCTACAGGAAGCGACTCAAGGCGCCAATGGCTTTGTCGACAGAAGAACCTGAACTTGATGCAACCCGAAGTGCCGTCCTATGTCCTTCCCCTACTCAAATCCCCTCATGGTGTGAGAAAGAAAGCTGGGCAGCAAGAGTCAGTAGCGCATCGTGCAACGGTTTGAAGGTGTCTCTGCTTTATTCGCAGCCACTGCACACACTTACACACATGCACACACATAGGCACAAGAGGCTTTCTACGGCGTAAGAATGACTGGCATTGGGGTCTTTTTGCTGTACTGCTTTCTGTATGTTCCGACCTTCACGATCAACGACGGCTTTATCATCTCGCATTGGTATATAATATTCTTTGTTGTTAGTTTAGGATTCGTATGCTGAAGAGTCGAAGGACACCCCAAAGGATAGCTCTGCTAGAAGCTGTAGAGAGCGCAGCTGAGGGATGTCGCCTTCGACGAATAGCGGAGCAAATTATTCAGGAGTATTGCCATTCCCCATATTAGCGGCTTTTGAGGAGAAATTGGAAGAGGAGAAGAGAAAACTTTGCTATGATAGCACGCCGAGGATAGAGCTACCAATGAGGATGACAAAGACATTGAGGAGGACATGCAAGAGCGAATGGCCGTCACGATAGAGAAAAAGTATAGACAGGGTAGAGGAGAGCGCGCGAGTTGGAGACCGCATGCGCCCAGAGAAACAAAACCGCTTCGAAAAGACAAGTACAACCACAAACGACACGCGCCGATGTACTATCCTATACCGAGGACGGCAGGGATAGGACACGACTTCAAGTCGATTGAAGAAGGAGGCGTACTGGCAAAGAGCTTCTGTGTAGACACAGCGATTGTATGTCGATCCGACCTGGGTCGCATCGGCAACAGTGTCGGCCACGGTCTAGCAGCACAACAAGTGCACAGCTGCACAAGCAAACCATCGCCAGATGAGCAACGTACTAATGCTATACGCCTGACCGTTCGCCTGGCACTTAGTTGACTGTTGCTCCATTATGAGAAAAGCAACAACATTCGAGAAGGCCGAGGCTGGCTCACTCGTTTAGCGATTCGGTCATACGAACGCCCCACCAGATAGGTTTTACGGACAAACGGAAGGAAGTTCTCGTTTGTTCAATCTTAATGCTTATGTATGTTCGACGACTGAAGATGTGATAGCTTCAAAGGCGACAGTTAGGGTACTTGGGGGATCGACCTTTGATTTGCGATGACTGTCAACTGGAGTAGACAACGATCTACCCATGATAACTTAGATCTGTAATAGTTTGCATTCTGCCGAGGAATGTACAGTGAAAACACTGCTTATTTTAGCGGTCGAGCACGTCGAGGTAGTAAACACGAGTTGTGACATCGGACCAGTTGTTGGTAGCCTTATCAACTAGACAATAAACACTTAACTGTCACTTAGCGGCCTAATAGACGTGTCTATGTCATATATTGTTATTTGTTTATTTATCGCAATTACAACACAAACAACAAATTCGAGTCTGTATGATCTCACTCGTACTGATAATTTAGCAGTGTGACATGGCCACCAAGTATGAGTCTACTTCATATTCGAATGAGTTTACTGTTCCACATTTCTATCCTTTGCCTCATTAATTTCTCTTTAAGTCAAAAAAAGAGCAAAAATCAATAACAAAATCAACCAAATACAACGTTGATAGTTTCTGGTTCGGCGAAAACGCGCTGACATGTTCTGGTAGAATCCATATATGTTTCAATGCTCATTAATTCAGCGGAGCGCTAACCGACAATACGAACTAGAATTTTTATAGACGGCAAAAAACATAATTATTTATTTTTACATTTTTAAATAGAAAACTTCAGCGAATCACATCGGATCGAGCAGATCAACGAAATTCTCATAAATCTTTAATCACTATATAAATTTCCCCCTTTGTATTCAATGGGCGATTTTTTGTTAAAGTCGCTTTGAGCAATTCGTCAAGCGATATGTTACATTTGCTGCGCTCAAGTCACAATAAAGGTTAGCTTGCAAAATTCGCGTGGAAAACACAGTAACGGAAGTAGAAGGACACTCGCTGCAAATACAAATGCTAAAATAGAGATAAACATACTGCTATTAAGGATAAATCACAATCCATAGATTCGTTTCGAAAGCATTTCATTAAAGGTAAATGGCAGATGTTCTTTGGTGTTTATGAGGCAAACCAGATCATATTGAGACAAAGCTTACTCGAGTTAATCTCTTGATATCTTTGCTAAGGACTGTGCTTTCCTATACAAATTTATTGTTAGGAAAATATACCCAGTGGGAGCTGGTGGAATCACGGAAGAGTTGCTCGAAAGGCATTCACGCTAAAATTCGACAAGAGGAAAGACGCTACAATAGACTAAAAAGCATGAGCGGATACTTGATAGTTCCTGTTAATTATGTCCAAAATAGGTTACCTAATGATATTCCAATCTGTTTCACTCAAATTGGCAAACGTTTCCTGCTCGTGTCATCTGTTGAGGTGACATCAACTTCGACATCCTCAAAGTAAACGCAA